CTTGTAGCGAAGGGCTTTACTTAGGTACGAGGTCGAGAATTTGGTATTCCTTTACTCCCGTGGCAAATTAACTACTGTTCGGTTGATTATTTCTCTAGTTGTGGAGTAATCTTGGCCTTTTTACCAATTGGATGTGACGAATGTGTTTCTTTACAGTGATCTAGGCGAGACCATTTNTTCACATAGTACTACTGATCGTCACAAGGCTAGGCTTGTGGCGAAGGGCTTTACTTAGGTACCAGGTCGAGAATTTGGTGTTCCTTTACTCCCGTGGCAAATTAACTACTGTTCGGTTGATTATTTCTCTAGTTGTGGAGTAATCTTGGCCTTTTTACCAATTGGATGTGACGAATGTGTTTCTTTACAGTGATCTAGGCGAGACCATTTATATGGATGCACCACCGGACTTTCGTAGTTTCGTAGTGTGAGGGAGTATGCTGAAAGTTGTGTCAACTGCGTAAGTCTCTTTATAGACTGAAACAGTCACCAGGAGCCTGATTCTCTTGCTTTCGTGGTTTAGTTGTACATTCAGGGTTTACCAGATGTCATTCTGATCATACATACTTTATTCGACAGAATATTTTTGGACAGTGTGTCATCTTTTTGGTATATATTGATTATATTATTATTATTGAGATGATATTTCTGAGAATGCGCAGGTCAAGGTAGACCTTGAGAAGGCCTTCGATGTCAAGNTGGACAGTGTGTCATCTTTTTGGTATATATTGATTATATTATTATTATTGAGATAATATTTCTGAGAATGCGCAGGTCAAGGTAGACCTTGAGAAGGCCTTCGATGTCAAGGACCTTAGATTTCTACGATACTTTCTTGGGATTGAAGTTGTCCGTAGCAGCAAGGGTATTGTTCTTTTTCAGAGGAAGTATGTTTTGAATCTTCTCTCAAACACTAGGATGCTGGAGTGCAAACCAGCATTATCACTCATGATATCAAACCCGAAACTTACTGCTAAAGGTGAGGAGTTAAGAGATCTAATTGTCTATCAAAAGTTGGTAGGTAGACTTATCTACCTAGTCAACACTAAGCCAGACATTTCATTCGCTGTCATCCGAATTAGTCAATTCATGCACAGGCCGTGTCAACCTCATCTTGATACATTTTATCATATTTTTCGGTACCTCCAGTTTTGTCCTAGACTTAGGTTGCTCTATGCATCAAAATTTCAGACCGGTTCTCTAGCCTGTTATTCAGATTCAGATTATAGGAGAACGTGTGACAGTCAATCTATTACATGTTTTTGTATTTTTTGAGGGACTCATCTTATCTCTTGAAAAAACAATAAGCAAGTAGNCGTGTCAACCTCATCTTGATACATTTTATCATCTTTTTCGGTACCTCCAGTTTTGTCCTAGACTTAGGTTGCTCTATGCATCAGAATTTCAGACCGGTTCTCTAGCCTGTTATTCAGATTCAGATTATGGGAGAACGTGTGACAGTCAATCTATTACATGTTTTTGTATTTTTTGAGGGACTCATCTTATCTCTTGAAAAAACAATAAGCAAGTAGTTCTCTCCTGCTCATCAACAAAGGCAGAGTATGGGACACTGACACTTGGCACGTGTGAGATTATCTGCCTACGATCAATTCTTGGCAAGTTAGAATTTTCAGTGACTTCTCCATCTACATTATATTGTGAGAATCGATATGCTATTCAACTCACTTTTGACTCTATACTACACGAGAAGACGAAACATATAGAGATCGATGTTCACTTTCTTTTGGAGAAGGTTAGCTGTGATATTATCACTCCATTGTTTGTGCGGACCGGTAATCAGATTGCAAATGTTTTCACCAAACCTATCATTCTATCAATTCTTCAGGACTCTATTGTCAAGCTTAACNGACAGAGTATGGGACACTGACACTTGGCACGTGTGAGATTATCTGCCTATGATCAATTCTTGGCAAGTTAGAATTTTCAGTGACTTCTCCATCTACATTATATTGTGAGAATCGATATGTTATTCAACTCACTTTTGACTCTATACTACACGAGAAGACGAAACATTTAGATATCGATGTTCACTTTCTTTTGGAGAAGGTTAGCTGTGATATTATCACTCCATTGTTTGTGCGGACCGGTAATCAGATTGCAAATAAAAAGTGGTTTGGATAGTAAGATAGTTAAGAAGTCCTGAGATAACAGTTCGAATTCTTAGTTGACATTTTTGCGCCTACCTTGAGGGGAGTGTTGGAGTTATAGTCTAGTTTATTAGGATTTCTTTTTCTTTTTTACCCTTACTATGACTTTTATGTTTTGCCTAGACCAAAGGAATGTTCAGGTCACTTTATACTATTGTTTGGCTATATATATAATGCTCTACTCTTAGTTTGGGTATCCCTTTTCACTCACGAATATTCCAAGTGAACACACTCAGTGCCGCTTAGACGCAAGTGGCTAATTAATTCTAGCAAGTTTAAGTTGTTTGGACGCAGCTAGCACTGTCTAGACGTGCCTATGAATTCCATTCCAGTGACTTTACTCCATTAGGATGTGAGCCATCGAAACACGTGTTTTGGTTGTCACACACGACTTTTAGACATGATGCAATCCTCTTTGACAACTTGTGCTAAGGCCACCCCTAGCTCCCTCTAGTATAAATAGGACCTCTTAGGTGTTGAGAGAGGATCCTTTTAATAGCCTTTACAATCTTTTCTTGTAGTTTTTGAGATCTATCAATAGATCAAAAGTAGTTCCCTTTGTACCTTTTAGCCAAGGATATGGGTTTGTGATTATTTATTCAAATAATTATTTTATGCTATTATTATTTTGTTTTTCACATTAAATCTTTATTTTTCAAAATTGATTGATTGATTGCCTTTAGCAAAGTTTTATACTCTGCAAAATTATTTGATTGATTATTAATAAGATTGAGTTCTTTGTATGGTCGATGCTTATAATTTCTTGCGAGTTTTGTAAACTAATTCTTCAAATCTTACTTTCAGATCAATCAAATCAATTGTGTGTTTAAAGATATATTTTTCATTGATTTTAAACTGACGTTGGAAATCAACTGAATTATTATAAAATTGCAAGAATATAATTGTATGATGAATATGATCATATCCGAATCCCAAAACTAAGGGGTCGTTTTCCTATACTTGTTTACCTTAACTTTTTCTACAATTGTTCCTTAATCAATTCAACATTTCTTAAAACCTTTCCCATTCTTCATTTCCCTTAACCATCTGATAGAGATGGAAAAGGGATTGGATGAGCTTAAATTGAAATTTTGAATTTTATTATTTGTTTTACTATTATTATATTAGTTAGAGAATATTTGTTTGACTAGGAGAATTAGTTAGATTTTGATTAGGAAATTATTATGGAATTTTAGTAGTATAGGAGATTAAGAGTTTAATTATGAACCTCTTTTAGAATTTTAATAAAAAAATAGTTTTTATTTTGACAGGAGACTTGTCCTAAAAATATCAATATAATCCCCACTACNGTTTAATTATGAACCTCTTTTAGAATTTTAATAAAAAAATAGTTTTTATTTTGACAGGAGACTTGTCCTAAAAATATCAATATAATCCCCACTACTTTAATGAGAATGTGATATAATAAAAATTGTTTCTCAATGGAAAATTGTGTGTTTCTTGACCGATTCCTTGCGAAGATGAANACTTTAATGAGAATGTGATATAATAAAAATTGTTTCTCAATGGAAAATTGTGTGTTTTTTGACCGATTCCTTGCGATGATGAGNCCCACTACTTTAATGAGAATGTGATATAATAAAAATTGTTTCTCAATGGAAAATTGTGTGTTTCTTGACCGATTCCTTGCGAAGATGAAATAAATTCCTTCCACCCCTCTTCTTTCTTCTTCTCTTTCTATTCTCTGATTTCTAGTCCTTCACATCCTACATCACCTTCAAATTCCATTATCTATATGGTTAGACCTCAAACTTACCAAAATATTATTACTTCTTGACTGACTATACTTTGGTGTACCATTCGGGATCAAACAGTAAAAGTCCTACAAGAACTATTTTGTATTCAAAGTGGGGTTTTTAATTGTCAATAAAGCAGCCTTTCTTGCAATGGTGATGCCCCCCCCCCTTAAATTTGATAGGTTATTATATTACGTGAATAAAAAAATAACTCTTGAAAAATGCTTAAGTCTTACAAAATTTGTAGGTTCATTTTCTACATTATTATAAAAGGAGATTGTATATTTTAAAGGACGATTAGAGAGCCTAAACACAATGGCCAAACAAAAAGCTATCACTCTTCTACAATTGCCAATAGCAGCTCAAAGGCACCCAGAAACTATTTTGCCTAAAACTTTGCCCTGTGCCTTTAATAACGCAAGATTGCATGTGATGGTAACTAAATTATCTCCAACAAATCATAATTGGTTAGCGAGATTTACTACTCAAGTCCGCCAGTAACTATTGAGATGGATAAATACAACTCCCATAAGCATGGTTCAAAGTATCAACCGATACCAATACGAGTCGTATTCGACTCATCACCTTCCCAAACAATACTATTACACGATACATACAAACCCCGAGTCTTNTCCCATAAGCATGGTTCAAAGTATCAACCGATACCAATACGAGTCGTATTCGACTCAACACCTTCCCAAACAATACTATTACACGATACATATAAACCCCGAGTCTTGCACGACTCGATCGAGTCGTCCGAGTTGTATCGGTGTCGGGGAACCATATTAATCATTTGATGACGATATCTCAACGACTTAGGATTGACCGATGTCTCTCAAAAGCTCTCCGAGTTCTATATAACTGTAACCTTGACCCATGCCCATAAGAAGCCCAATCTACATAATTGACTTCTATATAACTGAAATTTGAGAAAGACTCTATTTTAGATTTTATCTAAGTCAAAAGACATTTAAACATTTATTTTTGATAGAAGAAAACTAGAAAATACACCATTTATGAAATCTAGAGGTTTTGAATACCAATCAAAGTAGGTTTTATAGGAGACCGGCTCAGATTAATGGGCCCTGGATCTTAAGAGATGCAATTCACGAAGTATGAACTATAGAAATAAGTAGTAGTTGTACCATTAGAACTTGTATAATGCCATGATAATGCTATATCAAAATCACTACGTGTTGCTTATCAAAAATCACAACATACCAGAGGTAATGTCAATTCACTGTTAGCAACAAGACAAGATCTACCCGATCCAACTGCGCCCTCACCGTAACCCCGCACACTGCCAAGTCCCCCAATGGCAAATGCTTGATAAGGAGCTATGTCCCCTACAACAGAACCACCTGTAAGGCTGTCACAGGAAAAAAGTCAGAATGACAGAAAATAAGCTCAAAGGAAGAAAGAAAGAAAAAAAATTAGTATGCCATATGTTTTTATGAAGCACACAGGGACTGTTAAGCACATCATGCTTCCTGGCAAGGCTTCATGAAGTTTTCTCATCCTTTCTCATATTTACATTGAAGTTCTTAGACCTTTAGATTGATTCAAGACATTTGCTGCATGTTTCTAGAAATTGACAAAACTTGATCATGGACCTGTGCTAAGACTTTCTATGCATCTTTTTTCACTTACTATGTCCTTTTCTTATGCTCCTGAAATAATTCTCATTCATGCCACGAGCATGACACTTCGTGTTTTAAAGTTCTTAATACTTTTATTCTCTATTTCAAACTAAATTCACCAACTTGACAAACCAAAAAAAATTATATTTCACCTTGTCAATAGAAATGCTGGCCCAAGTCTGATCCACTTTGATGCAACAAACTTGAACCGGTTGAAGACTAGCCATTTAGTTAGAAGAGGAATCCCTTGTTCTATTTGCAGACTAAACTGATTGCAATACAAATTGAATTCTTGTAAGATAAACTTAAACCTGAATTATGAATATTGCAGTGAATTCACATTAGGAATGTTGCAATTTCACTTGGTTAGTAAAGGTATCTTACTCGGGTGAAACTACGATCATTCACCTTTGCAAATCGAGACTCCTGCTTCAACACTACCCTACTGTCATGAGAACCACCACTGCGTAAAAAGCATTTTTCACAAACAATCAGTCTACCGACTTGGTGGAAAACATGATCCATAAATTGTATTAACTACCTGCAAGTCACTGGCAACCCATGAAGATCTCTGCTTATTGAGCGGCCTTCATCACTAACTGGGCAGACATGCTGCTTGACAAATAATAATAAATTTTTCCACTCAACTAGTAACAGTAAATATGCAAATAGTTGTATCGAAAAAATGTATGAAGATGACGGAGTAGTTCCTGGTGAATTTGATAAGACACTGACCTCAAACTTCAAACTGGTTTTGCTGCTCCAGTTGGAACTTGTAGGCTCACTCAAATCTAATCCTACAGCTAAGCGACAGAGATTCACACCTCTGCTATCTGAGCGGGAGAAGTTCTCAATGGGAAAGCCATGGATACCAATCTCAGGAGAAATTGAATGCTGGGCACCAAAATTAATTCAATTGAAATTCCAAGAANTTTGATAAGACACTGACCTCAAACTTCAAACTGGTTTTGCTGCTCCAGTTGGAACTTTTAGGCTCACTCAAATCTAATCCTACAGCTAAGCGACAGAGATTCACACCTCTGCTATCTGAGCGGGAGAAGTTCTCAACGGGAAAGCCATGGATACCAATCTCAGGAGAAATTGAATGCTGGGCACCAAAATTAATTCAATTGAAATTCCAAGAGATGCAAAAAAATCCTCCTCACAAGAAGTACTTTACTTCGGATTCCCTTTCCCCATATTCAATTTCCAGAAGTTTGCAAGATCAGTTACAAAATTTCCTTAACAATATCGGTTCCCAAAAATTCCTATTATGTACACTTCCATTGTTTCAGCAATAGTGAGTCCACTCCTTCAATTATCCAGGCAAATTCACAGGTTTGATTTTGAGTNCCATATTCAATTTCCAGAAGTTTGCAAGATCAGTTACAAAATTTCCTTAACAATATCGGTTCCCAAAAATTCCTATTATGTACACTTCCATTGTTTCAGCAATAGTGAGTCCACTCCTTCAATTATCCAGGCAAATTTAAATATGTGCAAGCTCAACTCAAAATCAAACCTGTGGATTTCATCTTCAATTAAGTATCCAAAATTAACATCCCAAAGTACCTACCAAGCCCAAGAATGACATTTAACAAAATGGTCATTTCATGAATAAAAGGAAACCCAACCACCATTTGAAATGTTCTAAAAATGAAATCTTNCCCAAAGTACCTACCAAGCCCAAGAATGACATTTAACAAAATGGTCATTTCATGAATAAAAGGAAACCCAACCACCATTTGAAATGTTCTAAAAATGAAAATCATTCAAATCCCTTATTAATGTTCCGGAAATTAGGTTCAATTTGATTCCACCATTTTAGTTGAATTCAGAACATGTCAGCATCCATTTTTTCATCTGCAAAAAGAAATATGAAGGCAGAAGACAGCAACCTGAATGATAACAGACTGTTGACCAAGCCATTCAGGCCTCGGCTTCTTGTAAGCTACCAAGACATTGGAATCATAAAGTCCTTTATCCCACAATATATCAAGTTTTTCACATTTGCCAAATATATTGGAGTGTTTGATGCAAAGGCTGTAAAGAGAAATTAGGCAACCCATTACACCAAAACCCACCAACAAATTAAACAAAAATCCCAGACACTCCAAAAATTAAAACTTTGAAGTAGTAAAAACAAGAGACAGAAAAAGCGCACGCCACACACACACATCTTGAAATGACAACGACGATAATACCTACGTCCCAATAACTAGTGAAAATGGGCTACCAGAGTTCCTGTTTCAGCCAGAAGGAGTGAGCCCATAAGAAGAATGAAAAGAGGAAACATATAAAGCAAAAGGGTGACAATAGAATAGAACCTGAAAGAGTGGAGCATCAAAACAGCACATAGCTTGTGTGTTAAATCGACATTGAAGTCTATCTTGGCTGTCCAAACCAATGGTTCACTAAAAGCATCATACTCAATAGCTCAAGAATGAATACTATTATTACCATTGTAATACCGATACGGCTATAGTATAGTGTATTCACTATACCATAGATATATTTTTGGGTTAAATCAAAGCATTGAAATCGATATTGGCTGTACAAATAAATCACCAACCAATCACTTGCAACCTTACCACTTGCATAATTGGTTTGCCACACTTTTCCACACACCAAGGCATAAATACATAGTTGGGTTTTGAGTTTTAATTAGGATTAAATAGAAAGAACTGACCTTTGCCAGCGTGGATGCTCTTCTGAGCTCCCATCCCATAACTGTTCCACCATTCAATTGCAAGTGAAGATCAATTTTTCAATTGTTACCCATTGACAGTACCAATGGGTCGACAGAATATCTAACGGAGATGCAGAAAATGTTTCACAGGAGAGTTGATGCTTTGCGTGCTAGCGTCCTTCGGCAGCTTTTAATAAATAATAAAAGGGAAAGTCTACGGTACTGCCCGGTCAAACAGCGGCACCATACCGAAAAGCTGTTGTAGTGTCAGAGCAAAAGACAAGCGAAAAAGGAAGAGCCGAAGGGACAACCGGCTAAACAGTAACTTGCAAGTTAAAAGTAATTTTTTATCGATCCTAATTTTGAATGATCGACAAAATGGATGTGGGTGGAGGACTTGTCGGAGAACAGTAGGTATAATTAAGATAGATCACATTTGTAAATATTTTTGATTTCAGAAGTTGGGTGATGATCGATTGTTATATAACATGATCAATCTATCATTTTTCACAAGAAGATAGATGAAGGTGGTGCTTCTTGGGGAACAATAGGTACAATTGAGGTGGATCAGCGTATGTACGATCGATCATATTTTGTACAAATGTTCTGAATGTTTAGAAAAATAATATAATAATTTACTTCCAATTAAATTCAAAATATTAACCCTTATTTTAAAGAGTGTGAGCGATCCATAAAATTACGATTGATCAACAGAAATTGTTTAATAAAAAATACCTTAAATTCAATTTGAATGTTTTGTGATCAATCTAATAATAGATGATCGACAAAAAAAAATATATGATAATTTACTTGCAAAAAAATTCAAAATATTAACCCTTATTTTAAGTATTGTAATTGATCCATAAAATTATAATTGATCAACAGAAATTGTTCAATAAAAATATCTTAAATTCGATTGAAAGTTTTGTGATCGAACAAGTAAATTGTGATGAATAAGAAATTGAATGTAGTTTGATCAATCTAATAATGGTAGATCGATCACAAAAAATATGATAATTTACTTCCAAAAAAATTTCAAATATTAACCCTTATTTTAAGGATTGTAATCGATCCATAAAATTATGATTGATCAACAAAAATTGTTCAATAAAAATACCTTAAATTTGATTCAAAAAAAAATTTGAAATTACAAAAAACACATCAAGTGTGGAGGGGCATTATCATTAGCTGTTGGTTATTTTTGTCATTTTGCACTTTAAGTGTTATCAACACTCATTGCAAGTGTATTTTCCACTGACATTATTGAGTTCTCCCAAACCCTAACCCCCTTTGCTTGAACTAGTTAATGACATTACATTCCCCAAATTGATTGTAAAACATATGGGTCCTCTGTACATTCAATCAAAGAACCTGTAGATCAACATGGCTGAAGGAACAACTGGAGCGACAAAGAAGAGGAAAGCAGTGAATGAGATGACTAAGCAAGTCGTTACTGCCCAAAAGAAGAAGGATGGTGAAACAGATAAAAGTTCAAAAGGTGACATTGGTTTCTTGAACGAAGAAGCAAAAACATTATTTGAAACTTGTTTTTGTCATTGGCCATTATTAGTGGAACGAGGCGTTGCACTAGGTGAGTTAGTTAAAACTGAGTGTCCTAAGTTTTTTGGAAGTCGTAATTAGCATAACATCTTTGATGTTAAGAAGGATGATAAGGCATATAACAACGTAGTTAGATTGTTTTATGCAAATTTACATGACTTTGATTAGATTGGGCACACTTTAAAGTCCGTAGTTAGGGGTAAAGAGATAAAAGTTTTCCTTGATTTTATTTCAAAAATGTTAAAAGTTCTCAGGTCTGTCATCACTANCACCCCCTAAAGATTAAAACATTACCTTTCCATGTAGTAACCTTAAAAAAATTTGTTATAACTGATATAAGGTTACCTCATTCCACTGATAACTGAGAAGTTTGTCCAAAATGAGTTGCAAACTTGAAACTTCTCACTCCTGATTTGCGTACATGAAAGTTGTCCAAAATGAATTTCATACATTAAACTTGTCCAAAAGTGGGGGTTTTACCCTATGTAAAATTTTTTTGAATTTTTTAGTCAATTTAAATAATGTTTCTTATGCAACTTTTCCAGCGATATGAAAATGCTCACCTTGACAACCCTTAAAGTGGAGTGAAGAAATTGTCCATGACCACTTGAGTGAAAGTCATGAAAGCCATCCTGAACAATCAATGTATTGATAAAGAATGGTTAGTTAAATGGTGCATTGCTTGATAACTTATAAAATAACAAATAAAAGGGGAACTTTGTGTTATACAGATGTTATTGAACTCCGCCCATGTTTACGTACATGTGCGAAAGGGTCAATTGGTTCTTGATTTGGCAATGGTTGTTGGGATCCACCTTCTTGTGAAAATGGCATGTCCTCATATGGATCAGTAGTCTGGGTAGTCAACAAAGTACATTTACGAATATTATGCCCGGTTGTCCTGCACTTGCTACATCTTCGGGACATAAATGGATTATTATTTTGTGTACGGCCTGAATGTCCCTTTGTTGTAACAATATGTGGATCAGCTATCCCAAACTTATTTAACTTAGTAGTCCTACTTTTGTGTTGTATAGAGGTGTCCTCTGCTATACCAAGGGATTCATGATTGGTTTTTATCTGAGAGGTTAATCCATGCAATCTACTTCTTAGGTCCTGAGTTGCTTTGTAACCATGCGAAGCATAGTAACTCATATGACTACACATGGCCATTAGTCTAGCATACCATGTCAAAATGGTCAGAGTGTTACTTCTACGTGGCACGTCCTCAGTTCCAAAATCTCCCTTTGCGAAAATAGTCCAGCGCTTTAGAATGAGACACGGAGGGAACCATTTAATGTGCTCATATTTTAGTACTGTTACGATGTGGCAGCATGGAATACCAACAAATTTCATTTTTAAGTAGTTACACTTCATACAATATGTTTTGAGGAGAACATATGACATTCCATGTTGATTTTGGTTGCATGTAGTGAGACAAGTAGTAACTCCAATGGATCCCGTTGTCAATTTTTGGAGTACAAAGAACATGAATTCGGACTTCAACTTATTACGCACTTTGAGGAACAATTTCCTTGTATATATGGATGTTGCATGCTCGTCAAGACACTGCAATTGTGTGGTTGTCACTAGGGATATGTGTTGGGTATCATGGTCATCATTTGCTTCATTCTCCCTGATCCTTGCCAAAGTCCGGTCATATTGCCTCACAAACTCAAAGAGTCGGAGACAGGTCTTCAGAACATACCCTCACATTGTTGTGTATTTTTTATGCCCGCAAAGAATTTACCTCTTAAATATGCTTCAACCCACTTTGATCGTTTGAAATAAACTTCTGATATCCAATTATTATTCTCTAATCCAAATGAATCTATCAATGCTTTCCATCGATCTCAAATTCTTTNTCATTCTCCCTGATCCTTGCCAAAGTCCGGTCATATTGCCTCACAAACTCAAAGAGTTGGAGACAGGTCTTCAGAACATACCCTCACATCGTTGTGTATTTTTTATGCCCGCAATGAATTTACCTCTTAAATATGCTTCAACCCACTTTGATCGTTTGAAATAAACTTTTGATATCCAATTATTATTCTCTAATCCAAATGAATCTATCAATGCTTTCCATCGATCTCAAATTCTTTCAGACTACAGCAACCACACATACAATGTTTAAATTGTTGAACAAAATTTTCAGCATTAATATTTGACAACGCATTTCTTGTCAAATGCCACCTACATAATTTGTGTGTTGTATTGGGAAAAACTTGCTCTATTACTCTTGCCATGGCCTTATCACCATCGGTGACAACTAAAATAGGCGTCTTACCCTCCATTGCATGAAGAAAAGTATGAAATACCCACATGTATGTCGCAACAGTCTCATCTGAGAGCAAGGCACACCCAAAAATTGATGTTGCATTATGGTTGTTGACACCTACAAGTATAACAAAAGATTTCTTATATGCATTAGTTCGGTATGTGGTATCAAATACCAAGACATCGCCGAAGCATGCATAGTCAAGTTGTGAGGATGAGTCTGCCTAGAACAAACAATTTAATGAATTATCTTCATGGACACTGTAGTTGAAATAGAACATAGGGTCTGATTCTTTTTTTTACTAAAGTAGCTTAATGCCCCCATAGCGTCATCGTCTTAAAGTTGGGATCGACGTTCTGTCACAACATCATTGTACAAATCTTTCATGGTAAATCCAATATTATGATAACCTCCTACTTGTTGCCCCAAAAAATCCCTTACTTGACTTGTATGTATGCCAACATTACGCAATGCATTTGTNCTTCTTGCTTGTTGCACCAAAAAATCCCTTACTTGACTTGTATGTATGCCAACATTATGCAATGCATTTGTTTGTTCTCTATCGAGACTCTTCACACGCCTATGCGATAGAAGGAATGGCACACCACGTAGTGTAACCAATTGGTGATTATGTTCCTAGACAAATTCCTTTACAATCCACTATTCAGACCCATTGTCATACTTGACACGAAAAGTTGCGTTACATCCCACCCTTGTTAAGCCTCTTGGTTCCCGAATGCGGTCATTGCAGTCAAGGTGTTTGGGTGATCAATAACCTTCTCTTGAATAAACCCACTGTCTTGACACTAGAATTTTATTTTTGTTACACTTCAAGTCATCTTTCCAAACACTAAATCCCAAAAATTTTGTGTAATTGTTATAAAACTCCCCAGCCGCTTCATGTGTGGTGAATGTCATTTGCATTACCTCACCCACTGTCAACCCATTGACTCTATTTTCCTCGACACCATGATCAAAAATAGTTTGATCATTTTGCATATGATTCTCGTACTTAGCATCTGTTACGGCAACATTAAGATCTAATACTATACCTTTACCTGTGTCACTGATCGTACACGCCATTACTACACCTATGGAATTACAAAAAAAGTTGGAGTTATAAAATGTTTGCTAAATTTGAGACAATTTTTATACGATAATGCAGAATTCATGTTCATTCTCTCAATAAAATATTGCATATATTATCAGCAATAT